GTAATAAGTAAATAAAAAAAGATAGGCAGCGAGAATCTATCAGAGCTGTGCTTGTAAAACATGTATGTGGAAGTTTGGCTCGAATAATGCACGTTGTGGGCAGATATTGTGAACATTCCCGCCGTCTACCCTGGATCGATCCGACGACGGAAAAGGATGGAACATCTACCACACCGACGGTTTTTTTTTTTGGTTTTTTTAAAGAAGAACGCACATACATTCGTTCGAAAGACGAGCGAACAAAGCAGACCAATAAACAAGACGAGTGGCAGACAAACAAAGCTGACAGGCGACACATCTAGCACGCTAATGCTTAGGTCACAGAAACAGCCACAAGAAACCAATAAAAAACAAAGAAATCATAGGTCTAGGTGAAGCGCCGACCTCGCGCCCGTTTACTTTTCCGGCGTTCGTCACACCGTAACAAGAGCAGCCTCTTTCTCTCTTCCTCGCTTTCCTTTCCGACCACTGACGCGAACCACGTGTGCCGCGCCATTTGTGTTTTAGTTTGCGCGCGGGGCTCAGACACGCGAGTCGACCGAAAGGGGAGGTCCGAAATCCCCCCGCTACCGCCGCTACGCGACACTTTAGGCTTATAGCTTTCACTCAAACGGCTCTTGGCGGCAGCGGAGGCCCGCGTTCGGCAGTGTCGCCTCGGGCGCGAACGTTAACGGAAGCTTGCACACAGCACAGTATACGCGCAGAAGCCCCCGAGCATCGACAGTGAATCGCGCTATGCTTGTTTACGGATGACGCGTACGTTACCTATTTCTATATCCTGCACGGATGTTGCTTCACGACCAGGCTCTGCCTATCTGCAACGCGGGACGATGTGACACGCTGGTGGGCATGCATGCGGGCACCGCTTTGTAAGGATCTCGTCTGTCTCCACAGTTCTGGCGGATACTCGGATGACGACGAATTAAGCGTTCATTGCTTTTTGGATTCTTGGCTCGTGTCCGGTTGGTCTGCTGTCGTTGAGTAGTCTGCCATCGGAGAAACACGTCTCATGAGCACTCACATGCGCAAGTGCGCATTGCTGGAAAGAAGCCGCGTCGTGTTTTTTGTTCCCGGTTCGTCTGCTCTTAACCCGTCTACTTCTGGCCGGTTCAGCTGCCGTCGTCTGGTCCAGACCGGTTCGTCTGATGTCATCACCTGGTCTTGACCGATTCGTCTGCCATATGAGAAACACGTCTTGAAGCACCGACGTACGCAAGCAGGTTTTTTTGTAAGTTATAGTTTCGTCTGCTCCTGGCCGATTCACTTGCTCTTGACCGGTTAACCACGGTGGTCTCTATACCCGTTTGTGTAGCATCCAAGACGAACACCTTGGAGCCTTGAAACAGGCAACCAGTTTTTTAAAGACATTGTTTCGTCCTGTTCTTAGCGCTTCATGTGCTTCTTTCTGACCGGTTCATCTAATGTCATCGTCTGGTCTTGACCATGTTCGTCTGTCGTCCATGAAGTATATCTGAAAGCGCCCAAGTATGCAATTAGTTTTCTTGCAAGAAATCAGTTGTCGGCTTGTGTTTCTTTTGTCTGCTCTTCATCGTGTGTTTGCTATACGTGAAGTCTGTACAATCTCTACTGGAAGTCCGTGACGTCGTCCTTCGAGAGAGATCTGTCCTCTTCAAAGCATCTGCGCCAGCAAAACATTGAGTGCGAATTCTATAGTTCTGTACTCCTGCCACGAAAGAATTTTGGGGGCGCAGACACAAAACGGAAGCCTTTCTTCAGACCAAAGGCACAAGGGAGTTTTTTTAATTTTACTTTCTCGGCATTGCGAAAGTCGCTGTAACGTTTGGGGCGTATCTCTCGACGATGCAGAACTGTTCTATACGGTATACCATCTAATCTACCGTACAGTGTAGCAGGGGATTCTCTTTTCGTTTAGGCCTTTCCAGATTTGTGTTTTGCTAGCATGGTGTGGATAGGATCCAGGCTGTAATTCTTTCTATATTACACCGTATACCAAAGCTAAATGCAATGCGGAGTGCGAAATCGTGATACTTTCCCCCCAATAGGTCATCGCTGAAAGCAACGTGATGAAGTGCATCGTGTATTCCGCATCTAGCATCTGCATGAACGCGCTAATAGGCCTAAATCAAGAGTGATAGAAGTGGCCAGAACACCAAAACACACTGAAAGCAGTGAGATAACGTGTCACCACACAGAAATTAAAACGGCTGTTCTATATCAGCCCATTGGCTTTGACTCGTTTATTTCAGCGTGGCAAACGGTCACACAGTGCATTGTTCGCCACAACGATGGTAAAATAGTCTGCCTTAAAAGTCTTTCCGATTTGAAAAACAAAAAAAGTTTCTCTCACTCATATGCGAGTAGCACATAGCCACAAGTTTAGGATCTACATCTATACGTAGTAGCAATTTTACTTTGTCGACCTGGCCGGTTTACGTCACGTGCATCCAGTCGTTTCATTTGACGTTGTTTCAACCAGCCTCGTAAACACGCTAACGTATACAGGCCTATACGTCTGGCCTATAGCTCCTGCTGGGAGTGATTTCGTCAACCAGCCTCGTAAACACGCTAACGTGTACAGGCCTATACGTCTGGCCTATAGCTCCTGCTGGGAGTGATTTCGTCAACCAGCCTCGTAAACACGCTAACGTACAGGCCTATACGTCTGGCCTATAGTTCCTGCTGGGAGTGATTTCGTCAACCAGCCTCGTAAACACACTAACGTACAGGCCTATACGTCTGGCCTATAGCTCCTGCTGGGAGTGACTTCGTGTGTTCCACGAGGCCACCTGTTATCTGCCACTTCTTTTTTTTTACCGTCTGCTGTTCTCGTCTGTTACGAAACTCGGGAAACGAGCTTTGCATCCAGATATCTTGAGCGTGTTTGTGTAAGCATTGTAGTTTTGTTTTTTCAAACCACTGCGCTTGCTTCGCGGGTGAGGAAAAACTGTTCACGTCGAAGTGTCCATAGTCGGCGCTTTTCTTTCATCATTGCATGCGAATATCTCCCTCAACTCCAAACGTGTCTCGCAGGCCGGCCAGATAGCGTCTATTGTACTCGCAATGCTTATCTGTTCCCGTATCACTCCCCTCTCCCCAGAAAGCCATAAGTTCCACGATGCGAATGCTCCGCACTGACGTCTGTCTGTGAACCGATATGACGACAACATTAAAAAAAAAATAGCGCTCGACGAAACTCACGGCTTCGTATGTTTCACCAATTCAGTGTACAGTTCCTTACTGAACACGTTACTGTGATCTTAAATGATGCGTGAACTAGATGCACCCGAGGCCTCCATTTTCTTCCTTTAGAGTGTGTTCGTGTCAATTCTGGTGTACTTGTTAGCGTATATAGGTCCAGCTGGTCAACCGGAAAAGTAAGAGTATACAGCTTGCGTCACTTGTGTGATGTACCACTTTCTGGTGCCGATCATCTATAGCACCTCTGCATGCCACGTCGTGACGTACCAGGTAATGTCTTGTCCATCAGGGCCTTGTGCAAATTGGTTTGTATCCGTTTGACCATGTCACGTGCTTGAAACGGCTGAACAATATCAGGAAATTCTAACAAAAGCGTCGTTGAGGCAACTTTTTGAGAGATTTGAATGTTGTGGGTTATATCTTGGTGACGGTGACGCGCTGTGTTTGAAGAAACGGGTATTTACGAAGCTGGAAAACCCGGTGCCCTGTTTCAGCAAATTATCATAACCCCGAACAGTAAGCCTAAAGAAATCGCCGCCTGAAGCCTGAGCCTGCAGAGAACACAAAACATAAGTGACAAACTTGTGTTCACGATCCCTTTCTTCGCTTCCCGAGTAGTTTGTATAACAGAAATCGCGCACATTATGGGCGCGTATCGCCCAGCAAGAATACGCAGTCCCAAGAAAGAAACAAGTTAATCTATCAGAATGTCGAATACAGTCGAAGACGGAGACACAGTGGACAGGTGTACTCTAACCATTGTTGTCTTACTTCCTCGTCTATCACAGTGGCGCTAGAAGTCGAAACAAATCCAACGACGCTCCAACACCAGTTTCACGTGACGCATAGGCTGGTAAACCGCACCGTCATCTCGCTTTTTTTTTTTCGCCAGGGTTTACCAAAAATCGAAGCCAATCGATCACCGTCACCTGTTTCACTAGACGTGGTATAGCCACGTATAAGTGTGGGTGCGTCGTCTGCTTTCGTCGTCTGCATGCCAAAATATCCCGTCCAGAAGTCGTCGGTCTGCCGGACACCACCACCCGATGTTTTATCAGAAGCATTAACTCGGATACGTGGCTCCGTCAGTTCGCTCGCAGAAACAGCAGCTAGCAGCCGACGCCGGATGACTGATATTATTAAGGCGGCGTTGCATTTTGAGGGTTCGGCCGTTATCGGTTATCCGCCCCCCTATACCTTATCGTGGGTCTCTCTTTTCGGGCACTCTGCGCTATTGATTATTTTTCGCAATCCGGTAGGCGATACGGGAAACACAGCGAGCGGTGTCCCGCTTGATGGAGGTCCCGTCGCAACTGGTGTTTGCAGTCTGTGAGCGCGCGTAGTATAGGTGTGCGAACTTGGGTGACGACCACGAACAGCTGTTGTTCTACTTCTGAACAGAAGCAACGACAACAAGAGAGACCGCGGTCGTTTTACCCCGTGTCTGTATCAGCACAAGGCCATGGTGCGTGGGTTCCGAAGTGTGGCTTCAACTGCGTGTGCGTGTAACATACATCCACTCATGTGTCTACGACTTGTGTGAGGCAGTGAAGAGTCCGAGGTTTCTGTACCTAGGTTCCCAACCTTCGGCCATCTTTGGGGATATTTGCGCGTACTGCTGACTCGACAGTAAGAAATGTGCGCGTAACATACATCCACTCATGTGTCTACGACTTGTGTGAGGCTGTGAAGAGTCCGAGGTTACTGTACCGAGGTTCCCAACCTTCGGCCATCTTTGGTTATATTTGCGCGTACTGCTGTGAAAACTGTGCGTTCGTGCACGTTGTTAAACTGTGCACGTGGTTAAACAGGCAAAAAGAGAGAAAAAATGTTATAGAAGCAAAGCGTAGGGAACTTCCACGTATGATACAGTGCAGCTGACTCAATTAGACAAGCTTCGCACACCAGACTTCCGCTGTCATCATCGTCTGTTCTCGAGGCCGCAGACGACACGAAGTCCCATCGCAATGCCGAGCTGTAAGTATTGGTTTTATACTCATGCATGGGTACCTCGGTGTTTATTTATTTATTTATTTATTTGATTCTAGAGACTCTACAAGAACTACGTAATATATATTTTTTACATTACCACGACCATTCGAGGCAAAATAAGTCGTAAAGAGCGCCAAGAAGCCGAACAACAAAAAAGGATAGACAAACGTGATCGTTGATTGCGAAGGTTTGTAGTAGGGGCTTCAGAAATTAATCAACTGGTGAATTATTTGAAAGATGCTGATTAGTCACAGCTAACGTATCCAAAGGCCGATTTCATCGCACATGTATAGATAGATAGATAGATAGATAGATAGATAGATAGATAGATAGATAGATAGATAGATAGATAGATAGATAGATAGATATACAGACGGACGGATAGAGACAAACAGACGCATAAACAGGTAGATAGATAGATAGATAGATAGATAGATAGACAGATAGATAGACAGATAGATAGATAGATAGATAGATAGATAGATAGGCAGATAGATAGATAGATATATAGATAGATAGATAGATAGATAGATAGATAGATAAGATAGATAGATAGATAGATAGATAGATAGATAGATAGATAGATAGATAGATAGATAGATAGATAGATAGACAGACAGACAGACAGACAGACAGACAGACAGACAGACAGACAGACAGACAGACAGACAGACAGACAGACAGACAGACAGATAGATAGATAGATAGATAGATAGATATATAGACAGATAGATAGATAGATAGATAGATAGATAGATAGATAGATAGATAGATAGATAGATAGATAGATAATGACCAGCGTTTAATTTAAACTGCGCAGTTGAACTGAAACGGATCCTAGATAAAGTCATCTCGCATGTCTGACACTAGATGCACAGTGAGCGTCCGTCGACGAGCCAGTTGCATGGGGATTTGACTGCATGCAAATTTATTTTGGTTGTTTTTTTATTTGAAATTCAGCAATATTGCAATGTCTCTGCATACTGCATAGAATAATTTTGAAAACAAAAATGCATGCAATGAATGACGAAAAAAAATATTATTAATGTGCTTGCCTATTTTTGGGAGCATGGCAGCTCCATGCCTGGTTGCGCGCAGCAGCTACATATACTTGGTTACTATCCTGGAATAAATATAGGCTCCGCCCACCAAACCAACTGGTTTTTGTTCGAAAGAAAAAGAGCTTACTCTTCGCCAAAGAAAGCGTTGGACACCTTCGAAAGTCGAAGTTGGTTGTTTCTACACTATTATATTACCTTTGGCTGAATGTCTATATGACGACACTTTCAAAAAAGTACCACAGGATGCTCAAGTCTTCTGTGAAAAACCGGCGAGAGAAAAATGTACATTTGCAACAAAAGTCGACTATATTAATCACGGTTCACTGTTTGACGTCACCGGGAACAGGAGGGAAATGAAAAGCAGGGATGTTAACCAGTCTAGAGCGACTGGTATGCTACCATACATTGGGGACAGGGATGAGGGAGTATGAAAGATGGAGAAAGGGAGAGAGAGGAGGGCAAGCGCATTCAAAGAGTCACGTCACAGTAATCATAACACTATTACTCTATAACCGCCGGTCCAAGTCCGTGGCCCGTCAAAAAGCTGAGGACTGCTTTCGTCCCGTTCACTCTCTCTGGGCGACAGTCCTCTCTGGACTGTCGTCCAGAGAGGTGTCCGCCGTAATCAGGCTGCGATCTATGCAAACTGGCGCAGCTGCAAGTGATTTTCTGTGTGCGTTGGAGCGAGGACAGTCGCAGAAGATGTGCTGCATTGTCTCCTCGCTACCGCAGTTGTCACTGAAGGGGTTGTCAGCCAGTTCGATATGAAATGAAAATGACTTCATGAAAGCCACTCTTAGCCATAAACGGCAAAGTAGACTGGCATCATTCCGGCGTAGTCCAGTAGGTGTGTGTAGTATAGTAAAGCGTTTGAGCTGTAGTAGAGTTGATTGGGCTGTTTGCTTGCATTCCAAGCTTAATTAGTGATTTCCCGTGCGGCCGCTGGACGTTGGACGGCAGGAGCATCGGTCCTCGATAACGGTATGATCTCAAGCCTGTTGCCTCGAAGCACTGATGGAGCCGCATTGTCAGCGTGGTCATTGCCTATCACGCCACAGTAAACTGACAGCCACTGGAATGTGACGTCAAACGCAAAATACGGATGACATACCGAACCTCAAAGACCAGCTGCTCGTATGGTACGTGCCGTGGGTCTTACTGTAAAGATTGCAGAGCTGCCTTCGAATCGCTGAAGACTGAACAACGTTGAGGCTGCTCGCGGTTGACTACGTGAAGTGCAGTGCGAAGAGCAGTGAGCTCTGCAGCCGTCGATGATGTTGTGTCGTCTGTCTTGAAACTGGAGGTATAGCATACTTACTTAGCTGGGACGACCACCGCTCCAGACGAACACTGGAGAATTGTTGATCCGTCAATATAAACATGTACGTAAACGGCGTACACTTCTCGTTCAGAAGCATCGCGGATAGCTGTTTCAGAACTGCTGAGGCGAGATCAGTTTTTTTTTTCTGATTCCGGGTACGATGATGTGCACTTCAGGTTCAATGAACGACCGCAAGAATTTAAAAAAAAATTCTTATTTGGATGAAACAGTAGAAGTTATCTAAGCCAGGTACCTCCAAGAATTAACGGAGGTTTAAAATATTGTCAGTTCTTCACATTTTTGACGTACCAAATTTCTGCAACACGATGCTTACAGAGCTACAGCAAGCTGCCAACTATCTTTCAATTGAAGCACATTGTGCTGAACACGTGTGCCAAGCCGCTTTAAAGTTTCCGTGTCAAGTCGTATAACGGCTTCAATTGATGGGCACAGCAGCCTACAAACATATAGCGTTTTCTAGTTACCTCACTTTGCAGCTGTCCTGCGGGGCTCTCTGTTTGCACGAGGCACGCAATTTCGCAATCCGTGCAGCCCGACGGCAGGATGTGCTCTGTTGCTACGTAGCGTGCAATATCATAAGCGAGCTCGGCATCGCGGCATTGCTTGATATAGTCGGCGAAAATCTATGCCCGAGTTATTTAACAGTGCTAAAAATCGTTTGTTAACTCTACTGGCCCGCACTTGTCACACAACCATGTAAAGCAAAAATTAAAACAAATAAAAAGAAAAAAAACTCGTTACCTGCACGAAGTGAATGATGGTGGAGCTTGCTCGAAACCAATCGGGAAATACCCTGAATCCTCCGTACAACTTCAAAGACATGACACGTTTATATATATATATATATATATATATATATATATATATATATATATATATATATATATATATATATATATATATATATATATATATATATATATATATATATATATATAAGAGGTTATCGTTTACATATCGGCGCAATTATATACAAGAATTACATTACTTATTGCAAAGATGAGGGACGCATTTTCCTTTACAGATTATGATTCGGTGGTAGCTGAAGTATGTAGCGAGGGGATCTTCAATTATAGACGTTGCAGCTGAAAGTCGGAGAAGGCAATGTCGATGCAGAATCCGAGTGGAGGTTCTCTTGCCGGCACTTTGAATGCCGTCTCCCCTTCGCGGGCTCTCACTGCGGGGTCCGCCTGTCGACGAGTCTTCTTCGCAACACAAAACGCACATAATGCCTCACAGATGTGCAGTCGGTTCCCTGCTTATCAGCAGATTGACGACTGACGCAGTGACATAGGGTGGGTTCCAATGCTCACCGTAGACGGCCAAATATACAACTAAATGGACGGCGGCCATCTTGAGTCCCCTTCCGATTCTCACGTAGCCGGCAAAATAGACAGCTCCGAGAAGACCGCATCGCAGACAAATACGATGCAGGCTACTTTGCTGTCTCAACAAGGTGGCGGCTCAGCGAATCGCTCAGATAGATCAAATCTCGCCGGAACGGTCGTCTGCACACAAGCAGATGCTTTCCCAGACGCTCAATGTGAGTAACGTTTGTTTGTTTTTGATTTCGATACGAGATAAGCCAGAAAATAGAACTGTTACGTTTATTTTAGCTTTTTCTTCTCGACGCGAGGTGGCGCATCGTCGCGCAAAAGCCGTCCAGAAGTGTTCTAATTCTCGGACAGCATGGGCTCGGTGCTGTCTTCTAAGCAGCCTGCGTAGATGGTCTACGTGCTGTCTAAGAATCGGAACACAGCCTAGATAGATAGATAGATAGATAGATAGATAGATAGATAGATAGATAGATAGATAGATAGATAGATAGATAGATAGATAGATAGATAGATAGATAGATAGATAGATAGATAGATAGATAGATAGATAGATAGATAGATAGATAGATAGATAGATAGATAGATAGATAGATAGATAGATAGATAGATAGATAGATAGATAGATAGATAGATAGATAGATAGATAGATAGATAGATAGATAGATAGATAGATAGATAGATAGATAGATAGATAGATAGATAGATAGATAGATAGATAGATAGATAGATAGATAGATAGATAGATAGATAGATAGATAGATAGATACGCTCAAAGTCGCCGAAGTTCGCTAAGAAATGATTCGCATTTAAAACGGCAAGAGACGGCCGAACAAAGTTCGAGTCAGTATAAATATTACAGCGCTTGAAAGCTGGAAGCGCGTGACACTATAGAAGAGAAACGCTGGCAGTATTATTACTTCTCACGCTGCGATCACGAATAAGCGCTTACGGCAAACAGACACGACGCCCAAGCACTCGAAGACGGTGGCACCCCGTGATTTAAGAAGCACCGAATTTTAATTGCTCCTACGTGCACCGACTGTATGTATAGAAGAGAAGAGAGAGAAAGACGCCATTTTTTTGTGTGCGACGGTGAGGGGAGAGCGTTTTGTCCTATGGCGCCAGTTGTTCTGCGTTCTCGCGGTGTTCAAATTTTGCGAACTTGACAGTATAAGGCAGAGAGGTGAGCGAGTTATATGCAATGTGTGTTGGTAAGTCAACGCGGACAGGACGGAGACGCAAGAC